TTTTATTATGTAAAAGTTTGCGGAATTAATAAAAATCGAGGTTCGGATACTTTCTTCCAGGCAGTGTATGTTAGATTTAAGCATTGGTATACAATCATTTTATTACACTTATACAATACCATACCATACGTTTTGCAAGAGTTATACCATACTGAATGTCCCTATACTCGGTGTTTGGATATGAAATTTGATTGGCTAATTTGAATTCCACCAGCAGCAATTTATCAAAATGATGTTCAACTAGCTAATAATTTTTTATATGAGGAATTAATCAAATAATTGCATATATTTACTATTTAATCATTCCGTTAATATTATTATATAGATGATTAATTTAATTATTAAAAAGATTATATTATTTTTGTGTGGAAGATACAGTAATTGTTGAGATAATTATTTATTATGAAAAATATTACATTCAAGATCTTTTCATAAGAAATATTAAGTAGTAACATGTGTAACTTACATTTTACAGAAACTACATTTTGCCATTAATGCCAAATTAATGCTAACCACAAATAATGTTAAACTGTTCTTGATCATATAAATATAATAATAAATAATTATCCCAATACTTAATACTGTATCTTCCACACAAAAAATAATCTTACTAATAAATAAATTAATCATCTATATAATAATATTAATTAAATAGTTAAATAGTAAATTTATGCAATTATTTGATTAATTCCTCATATTAGACCATATTTGTTTGATAAAGAAATGTGTGATCGCACGATGAAAAACCTTTTAAATTAATTTGCGTAATTTAAAAATAGATTTGCAAACCCATTTTTATTGTTACACCGAATTCGATGATACAAAAAAAAAACGTTAATAATAATAATAGAAATTTAATCAGGGTTTGGACAAAGAACATCTCTATATGGAACGTCTACATGCTGACGAATTTATTTTTTGCGCTCATCTGTTAAAGGTGCAACTTCAAGAATATTCCTTTGTGATAATTCTTGTTTTACAAATTACTAAAAATAGTATCGAATTTTTGTGGTTCAAAATAATCTCCAAAAAAAATTTACTATTCTCAAAGCCCGATTTTTCTGGTTATTTGGTTTAATCATTCATTTATTGTACTCCAAACAAAAATTATTTTCTACCTAAAAAAAAAATGTTTAATTTTCCACTTGAAATTCTAACTGAAATATTCAAATACATTGAAGATGAATATAAAACATTATATTCTTGTATTCTTGTCAACAAACAATGGCACAATATCAATATTTCTACTTTATGGAGAAATCCATTTGTTTCTACAGACAGCACCAAAATAATAATTAATTGTTTACTGGAAGAAGATAAGGATTTCTTAACTAGAAATCACATTGAATTAACTTTTGAACTATTGGAG